TGGCCTGGGAGCAGGGGCTCGGTGTTTACAGTTTTGGGTGTCAAAGCTGGTTTTGGTCAAGAGTGATGTCAGGCGCTATGTTGAGCCTTTGCTCGGCTCTGCGAGCCCGCAGCCCCAATGTGAGTGGGGCTGTGCGAGGGCCGCTGAGGGGGGTTTCAGGCCAGGCACCCCTTTTGTGTGCCTTTGGGGGATGTCCCGCCTGCAGGTGTCTAAGGCCCAGCCTGCTGCTGGAGCCAGGAAGGCATGGCAGCCCCTTCAGTCCCCCCGCTGTATCAGCTCCGGACCCCAGCTCAGGCAGCGGCGACCTCACCAGACAGCTCCGGGCTTTCGGTCTCTAAGGTACGGGAGGTGCCAGGCTATGGCTGAGCGCCACGCCGGCTCTCCCCAGCACCCCTGGTGCTGGCGCTTCCATGGGCCTCCTGCCCCCCAGGGACTGAGGGCTTTGCCCTCTCCCGGGTGATAGGGAGTCTGTGTCCCTGGGGATTGAAGGCTTTCCCCTCAGGGTTGAGTGGGACCAGTGCTCCGCAGGCATGAAGGCTTCCCCCATGTACCCCACACGGATCCGGGGGCTCTGCTCTGTGTTTGTGCGGGGCCTGTTGTACCCTGGGGCTGAGGGGGAGGTGTGAAGTGGAAGTGATCCCCAGGGGCTGAGGGCTCAGTTGGCCTGCTGAGTGGTAGGAAGGTCCATAAGTATTGGGAGAAAGGGGAATTAGACACCTCTGCTGAGAAATTGCTTGGTAGATGATTAGGTTGTCCTTTGTTGCATTATGTCATCTGTGTCAGTGTCAGTTTAAGACAGTTTGGCCAGCGCTGTTGCCGCCCTTGACTTACTGTGTTGGAGCTGATGACATGTTCGCTTAAAACATGGTGTTCCTACCAGTATTTCTTAAAATTTCAGCAACCGTTCAAAGCACAGGGAACAGGTGCTAGTTCACATTCATATCCTTGTTGAATTTATTGGGCAGAAAGAGTGCGGCTCTTTTCCTTTCCCTTTAATGCCATATTCTTTCTGCTGCTACACCAGGATCATTGGTTTAATGGTGTATCTGTTAGCTATGTTTCAGACACACTAACTTGCGGTTTCTCTTTCTGTAGCAATTGTTTGTTTCGGGCCCTCAGTGACCAGCTTGAGGGGCACTTGCAGAACTACCTCAGACATCACCAGGAAATGGTGGATTACATGATAAAGGAGTGGGAGGATTTTGAGCCTTTTGTGGAGGATGATGTGCCCTTTGAGAAACACGGTATGGTCTCCATAGGAAACCGATGGAAGGGGTTATGTGTAATGTGATTACATCTCATTTGAGCACCTTCTTACTAAACATTGCCTCATCCCAGAGCTATGGTAGGGCTCCTCTCTGGTTTTTAGAAACTGAGTTTACATTTCTGTCTGTTATGTTTCTGTGCAAAGATGAGCTATCAAACTTGCATTAAATTTGTCTTGGAAATTGTTAAATTTAGGAAAAACTTGGAGAAGAAAAGAGAGGCAAAAAAAGAAGTAAAAATTTGGTGTTTTCAAAAGGAACTTAGAAAAATTGTCTAGCTCTCTGTGAATACTGGTGGGTGTTGAGTGGCTGATTTCTTTTTCTCCTTGACACTTGGTATTTTATAGTGGTAACCTGGGGGAAGACCCAAAGCAGAGACCAATACAGCCTTTGTTCTAACAGCTTTGAGGATGTGCCATGCAGGTGACACATGAAAGCAGTTTGGTCATTTAGGATGTGGCACTCTTCCTTCCGAGCTAACACAGAGCTGATGGCCTTGCATAATCCATGGATGTACTGTGTTTTTTAGAGGTTTCTGTGGTCCTTTAAGATACATAAACTTCTGTTGCTGCCACATTCTTGCCTCAGCAGTTACTCTTTCACAGTTGGGATTTCCTTTCCAGAATTTGTTGGACTTGTGTTGAAATTTTGTTACTCACTATCCCTCCAGTGCTTTTGGAAGTGTCAGAAACTGGGTTTCCAACTCTTCTGAATGTTTTTTTTTTTCCTTTAGTTACCAATTTGGCAAAGCCTGGTACCTTTACTGGCAACGATGCTATTGTGGCCTTTGCAAGGAACAATCAAATGAATGTGGTTATTCATCAGCTTAATGCCCCACTGTGGCAGGTGAGAAACAAAACTACTACATTTTGGCCTAATTTTTAGCTAATGTGTACAAGTAGTGTTGAAACTTCCTGATTTATTAAAAGAAAGCAGCCGGTAGCAGTAGTTAGCTGGCCATGGTGTAGAGCTGTGCTTGCTTTTTCAGCCTTGAAGGAAAACACTCCAGATTTCAGCTAGGAGGAGAGGAAATGAAAGAAAACAATGAATGCATGAAAGATAAGTATGTGGAGACAGAGCAGTATGTTTTAGTTTGGTTTTAAGCTGCTAGCTTCACTGATAAGTTTCTCTCTCCTGAAGATTATGCTGCATCCAAGGTGACTTTTCTGATAGGAATTTGAGCCAGGCTTAAGGAAACGTGTACAATAAGGTTCAGGAATATGGGATTGAAGGTATAACAGGGCAGTCCCTGCAGTGTGTTGGAACGAAGCTCCGTCAGTTCTGTGTGGGGTTTGGAATGAGGAGGTTTCTGGCAGTTGGAGAAATGAGGTTCTGGACTGGGCAGAAGAGGGGAAGGAGTTTTAAAACCTTAAGGCGGTGTTTGATCAACTTCTGGAGAGGACTGTGTGTATGGTTTCCTCTGACAGCGGGGCACTGGAACAAGTAATCCGTCAGGTCCCTCCTGCTCTTTTTGTTTGGTTGGTTGTTGTTGGTTTTCTGTGGCAAGTCCACACTGGAATGGGTTCACGCTCGATCTCTGCCCATTCGTTGAGCAAGTGAGAACCTGTTTTCAAGTCAGGATTGTTTCTGGCCCAGATTTACAGACAGAACCAATGAAGCATATAGATAAAAAAGGGCAATCAAGGTAAAAGAGCAGATGAAAGCTGTCAGTGGTGCCTTAAATACATTTGAAACAGTGTCAGGTGGATTCCTGGACCCAAACAATTTTAAACTCTTATTATTGCAGCCATGGGCAGTAAGAAAGCTAAGCTACATATTTAAAAAAACCCCACAAACGTACCTGACAACCACACAAATGGTGGGAACACTCAACTGCTTGACCTGTGAGAGTGTACAGAGGTAATGACCCTGCAGGAGAGTTCACGGGGGTGCTGTTCATGTTTTGTTACTGTTTTGAACCGGATGCTCACCTCAGTGTACTTAACTCTTATCAATATTTTGTATATCCTCTCAAAAACTTTAAACTCTTTTTTCCTCATTCATTGACTTTTCCAGGGTTGTAAATACGGAGTTTGTGATGAGGTTCTGTTTTGCCTGAGTCCAGCTGTGTTAGTGAAAGGTTGTCTTAGGCTCTTGAGTGGCGCAAGTAGAGCAAGATGTTAATAGTTGTAACATAAGGAGTCTCCTACGTGCACAGAGGATACATCAGGGTGTCAGATCACAGCATGGTGACAATGTGAGCAAGTCGCTGGACTTGACTAACCCAGGACACAATTTTTCTTAATTTTCTATACATCTACATACTTTTCCCCCACCTCTCTCTCTGCTTTGGAGCCCCAGCAAATTTTTACATTAGATTCCAAAAAGAGCATTTCCAGAGAGCAAGATGCTTAAAGCAGATGGTGTGAATATCTCCTTTAGTCCCAACGTTAAAGCAGATGGTGAGTTATCCTTTAATTTTAAGAGAACCATTTGTATACACTGCAGCTAGCTGGAAAAATGTGAGAAGTGTTCAGGACCTCCAGCTGTTCCTCAAACTCGGGCCTAATTGAAAGCCCTTTGGAGGTGGGCATCTCTGCATGGACTTTTTAGGGCTTTAAACACCCTTTTCCTTTTTTGGTAGTGACCATAAATGTAGAGCTTGGAGCATTGAGCTCAGATGTATAGCTTATTTTATTGGCTTTTTGGATAACTGCTTACCTTTTTGCAGTGATTTTGCCTTTTTTTATCTGCAGCTATCTTTTACTTACAGTTCCAGTGTATTGCAAAAAAAAGGCTTCAATACTGAGAGCTAAATTGGGTAATTTTCAGAATTATCTTTCAAGAGCTTTGGGATTCGTTAAGTACCTATTTAATAGGCTCTGGCAGAGGAGGAGTGTTGAAAATAAATCTTACTGAGTTCCAACATGTTGAATAACTTAATAGGATAAAAGGCAGGAGTTAAGTATAGCCAAGTGTTGAGTTGGAACTTAAAGGTGAACAAGTGTAAAATAGATGAATGGAGAGTATCTGTTGTGAAGTCATTAGTGCGACACAAACCACAGACATGGTTGAAAGGTGACTTGGTGTATATTCTGTAAGGTGGGATAAGCTGATTCAAAGACGTAAAAGGATTGGGAAATTCTGGAGCCCTAAAGCAAGCATTTCTTGTCGTTTGCTTACTGATGATTTCTCCAGGAAAGCTGTCAGATCTTTGAACTCTGGCTTGACAGGTAAGCAAAGGAGATCTGCAAATGCAGTGTAATTTTCTGCATTCCTTGCAAGAGGTGGAATGCTGTGTAGCTTTTAGCTAAGAGTTTGAGACACTGATGATTAGGGTAGGAATTATTCTTGCATCAGTACAGATAATGCTCAGGGCAGGAATTTTCTACAGAAGCTGCTGTACTTGGTGCTGATAAAGCAAAGGAGCATTTGATTGTTAACAGTGCTCCTGAATGGAGTTAATTTTCGTGGATTGGCTTTATTTCTATTAGTCTTTCTTTTAAAAACAAAATATATCCATTTGAAATGCTAACTGTTAAAACAGCATCTTGTCTGAGCTGCAGAACAAAACTTACTCTGGATGACTGTTTCCACTGTGGCCATAACTTGAACGGATTCTTTTTTTCTCCTGTTTGAGGGGCAAAAGACATTGTACACTCAATGGGAGCTGTCACTGAAATTGCTTCTGGGAAGATGATCAGCACACTAATAGCTTCTGTGTAGTGTGGAATATAGTTTTGAGCTTTCCACTGAAATATTTCATACCAGGTTTCTTTTGTTATGATGTAACTGACCCAACGTTGTGTTCTGGTTTTCAAACATTATCCCTGAGACAGAAGCTCTGTTGTTCCTGTAGGCACATTTGGATTATTAGATGAACTCTTCCTGTTAAAGATTCTTCAGTAGCTGTGTGCTTTGCTTCTGATCGTGGTGTTTATCATTGCTTCAAAAAAATAATATGATGCTAAAGTTGAGTCCAAATCCTCATTTGTAATTTGTTTGTTTCACTTTTAGATTCAGGGCACGGACAAAAACAATGTGAGGGAACTGCAAGCTGCATATCGTTATGGAGAGCACTACGACAGTGTGAGGAGAATCAATGACAATTCTGAGGCTCCAGCGTATCTTCAGATGGAGGTCAGTTATGATAGGATGACCCGAGTCAGCTGTGGGTGATAAATAAAATAAGGCAGATGAGAAAGGAAACCAACCGGTAACATTCATTTGCATTGAGATTGAGAAAAGAGTCTGGTCCCTGTGTCGTGCTGGGGATGGAAAAGCCCCCAAGGTCGTTGTAACTAGTGCTGCCTACCCTCTTGAGACAGGCTGTGAAGTCTTTAAATTACTGGGCTGAAAATCAATCCCAAATCTGATGCTGTGATGAGGGCTGTAGATGTCTTGAAGCAGCCACATCTAAATTATATACTTGTGCACCTCGAATGCAACAACAAAGGGAAGGGAGGAAAGAGATGGAAATGCAGCAGCTGGATATAGTAGTCCCCTTCATATCTTGCTTTTTCCTGTTAAGGAGTAAGCTGTGCTGTCCTTGAGGTCCTCTGCACACAACTGTATAATGGGTGGTATTGTTAAAAACCAGCAATACTTCATTTCAAAAGCCAGTGATTGTTGGTATGCATGATCTCGTAATGTGTGAGTTTGCTCAGTAGTGTATGAGTCGTGGGAAGCGGTGTCAGTGATGATGGAGTTACATGATTTCCAAGATGCTTTGACACAGGATGTTTCTGAGAAACGTGTGCCATAACAATTAAATTTATTATGATGTCAGATTTTTTTTTTACTGCATATGATGAAATTGCTGCATGTGCTTGTAGGATCTGCAGGGCTTTGCTTTTCTTGCAGATGCTTTGCAAAAATTATTTGAATAAGGAGAAGGAAGTGAAGCCACAGAAGGGTGAGTCTGAAGATGAGATTGAAGTTGAAATGGAAGATGCTATCCAAAAAGTGTGTAATGCGACTGGATGTTCGGTAAGTATTGAGTAACCTTTTTATGCTTAACATTCAAACCTTCTTGATACGTGAAAGTAGGCTTGGGAAAAATTCTAAAAAGCATTCATCTTGGACAGTTTCAGTACCACAGCCACAAATCAGGATGGTTTTCATCCTAGACTCAACCCTTAAATGTAGATGAAATACATACTCTGTGTGGATACCTAATAATTTTGGAAGCTTTGTCTTGCAATGTCTCAGAAAATTTTACCATGAAACAATAAATTCTGTAAAATTTGAAATCCTTTGAGGACGGCTGTAGTTGAAGATCTCAAATGACTAGACACTCTGTGAGTCTTCGCTGCTGTCACTGGATAGCCTGCAAGTTTCCTGCAGACTGCTGCTTGCACTGTGCAAGTGCATAGAACAGAAAGGGTCAGGAGTGAAACAGCATATACCTTTTTCCTTATATGTTCAGGATTTTAACGCTTTCTCCCTCACCTTTTTCAGAAATGGAATACAGGCTAATTGAAAGGTGATGAAAGCAGCCAGAAACCCCCTCTCAGTGGTGCAGATGGTTGTTAAGTGAATGTATGTCAGTGCTTTGAACTCTCTTCAGTGTTATCTTTCTCTTCTTGTGCACAGGACATCGATTTACTAAGCCAGATTCTGGAAGTGGAAGACTACAATATAGAATCTGCAATATTTGCCATCTTTCAAGTGAAAGAAGTGGAAAGAATCAGTAAGTACCTGGAGTTTGTCACCTGGTGCTTCAGAAGAGTGCTGTCTGACCTTAGTGTTCACTGTAATCAGCAATTCGGGAAGCTTGCTGTTGGCTGTGCTGCTGCCTCAGCCTTTCTGTGCTCGGGAAGGTTAATTAGTGAGGGCAGATTCAATCCAGCTTCTGAAAAAACCCCCACTCTTTTCCAGAAAGTCGGGAAGAAGGAAATAACTGACACTGACACAGCTTCAGGGTAGAGCGTGTCTGAGAAAAACCTCTGGTTTTGGTAGGTGCTGAGGAGCAGCGTGATCTCCAGAGCAAGGATCAGAAATTGTGTAGCGGATCTCTGCAGGAAGAAAACGAAACTGGTTCAAGAATCTTTGGAAATGGGAGCTTGCAGCAGGGTGAAATAGAAAACAACAAAGGGCAGGCTAGATCCGATGAAGAGAATCGAGCTAGCAGAAACACAAAGGTATGTGAAGGGTGGTTTGGCAGTGATTTACACATCCTTTAATGATTACAGGAATGCTTAGGATTGCTTAATCAGCAACTATCATCTTCTTTGAATTAAAAAGAGCTTCCGCTTACCGGATTTTGTTGCTGCTACAGCTGTGACTTGTCAGATATAAATATTTAATAGTGACGTGTGTCACTCTGCCCAAAATGGTACAAAATAAAGTCCTGATATGTAGTTTGGAATAGGCATTCTTTGGCAGCTGCTTTGAAAGCGGCTTGTCTCCTTTCCAGTGTATTATTTTTCCCTGACTGAACAGAAAATGTGTGTTTTCAACTTTGTATTTTCATCCTTCTCTTTCAGGCATCTAAAAAACATTAGAAGGAACAGCAGTGGCTAGAGAAGAAGAAGCGGCAGGAAGAAAGACACCGACAAAAGGTCTTGGCCAACAAGAGTAACTGTGCAGATAACAGCAGGAGAGAGACGGACTCAACCAACCACATCACCTTGGTGAAGGCCATGGCAGTTCTAAACATATGACTGAATCTGTTCTCAGTGCTCTGGTGAGAAAAGCAAATAAAACCGATGAAGACAAAACTCCCCTAAAGTAAATTTCCAAGTACCAAGTGTTATCTGAAAATCTGTTTCTGCGGAGACCTCTAAGCACCTGTGAACTTCCTGTTCCTTTGGTTGTGGGGCGAACAATTATTCAGTAATTCTGCATCAACCTGTGTGTGAGAAGAGTTGTTTGAACTTAACAAAAAGTAGAGACTTGGGTTTATAGTTTTGGAATTAGATGAAGGCAAGAACCTTCTCTTCACATTGCAGTGTCAGAGTTGCTTTGACATCTCGTGATGTGCTTAGATTTTTTTTTTTTTTTATATAACAACTTTTTACTTGGTTATGCTTGGAGGAGCTTTATTTTACCTTACTGTCAGGGAAAGCTTAACAGTTCTCAACTCAGGAACATGGGTGGGTTTTTTATATTTAAATTTAAATAAGGGAACAGAATCCCAGAATCCTTTCCAAAGCTAAGTGTGTCAGCCAACACTGTATCAAACGTGAGATTCCTCTTTTTTTTTCTTTTTTTTTTTTTCCCCCCATGCAAGAATCCAGTGATAAGCTTTAATTTAACTAGAACTGCTTGTGTTGTTGCACTGGGCTGTTTCAGAAGTGATTAATACATCAAGGGAGAATGGGATTACTGCGTCCACGCTTGCTTAAGTTTGAGATCAGCTTGTTTGCTAGCTGTTGAGGGCTTTTGAGTTAAAAAAATAACAATAATAATGCCAGTGGACTCCTGAGACTGCAGAGCTGATTCATTCAATCTGCTAAGTATAATGAGGTAGCAAAATGTGACATGAGCAGGCATGAGACTTCTGTTGAGTGTTGTTACTTGGACATCTGGAATCTCCACTCCTTTGCCATACTCTGGAGCTTTTGGGCTACTCCAGAGCTTTAGTACAAGCCAGGAACTTGATAGTTGTGAGTCTCCAAATGAAACTGGTGTAGCCAAAGGATCAAGAGTTCTGGGAACAAGCTTCCAAGTAGCAGTGATCACTGGGAACCCTGCCTACTTCACGCTTCATAAATCAAGCTTTTTCCAGGGTAGAATTTTTTTCATCTTAAATTCCTCTTCAGTAAGGTCACCAAGTACCGTAGAATGCACAGCTTGAATCCAGTGATACTTTCTGCTGTAGGACTGGGAATTTGAGCTGAAGTGTAAGGACTGTGGGACTTGGCCCTCAATTGATGGCTTGCAGCATTTCAGCTTCACTCAGGTTTTTGGACTTATATCAAGGACTAAGCTTGAAGAAAGCACACGCACACTTACACACACAATAGGTAACAGGAGATACCTTATCAACCAGCGCAGGAAGAAACAGATTTTTTGAAAGTAAGGAAAACGGCTTTTGAAAGAATTCGATGCGTTCTTTGAAGTTTCCAAATCAGCATGGACATATAAATGCCTTTTTTGACTGAACTGCCAAGATCTGAGCTAGTACTACTTTGTGTGTTCTGCTACTGTTCATCGAGAGCATTTGAAGACTAAAAAAAAAAGGAGCTGTACTGTAAGTACTGGTGGTGTAGGAAAACAGGCTTTAATGCTGGTGAAGAAGTTACTTTGGTTCCTGTGATGAGCTTGGTGAAAATAAAAAGTAATACCAAGCAGCTCCTAATACTTTATGGTGGGACATAGTGTCTGGCGAGTGAGGCGGCATGTCAAGTGCCAGTGGTAGGCATGAGTAACTGCTCCGAGGGAAGTCTGAGGAGTATATTGTAGGTAGGAAGAGCACAGGTGAGCCTTGAATTCACAGTATTGTTCTTAACGTGAAAAACTACTTTGGCAAAATCCATTTTATGCCAAAATGGGTGGTTTCTGCAAGGTTAAAAAGATGGGAAGAATTTGCAGTTGTATGCTATGAATAAGATGATTGATCTGAATGAATTGTTTTTTTTTGTTTTTCTGAGGCAGAGCGGATGAGGGGGTTGTTGTTGTTCGAAGCCTGGGGAGCTGTGGAGGGAGTTGTCCTGTATCCAGCTGAGCTGCTCCTGTAGGTGTGAAGGGACCTGCAAAACCTCACCTCATGCGTGTCCAGGATAAACGGGCAGGTCTGCAACACCGGCACATCTGAAATAGCAGAGAGGCACTGGCATTCAGCTCATGGCCTCTGATACCTGTAACCAAATATGTGGCTGAAAATGCTTTCATTTCCAAGTGTAATGTGATTAAAACATTCTTGATGTGCTGGGCTCATAAGTCTTGTTAGACCGGTCAAACTCTTTATTTTTGCCAGGATAGCTTTGTATGTGCACAAACATTTTGTATCCAAAGATGTTAAAACTTTCATTTTGTCTGTTTGATTTTTCCTTTAGCTATTGAAATTTCCACCTGCCCTTACAGTGTGTGTTTTTTCTAGGGAATCATTACACAGGGCCCCTCAGGGAATTCACTTGTAGGCAGGGCATTTGCTTTGTAAACGGGTCATGGATTTTCCTTGCAGGAGGAAGGGCCTCGAGAAACAAGAGAAATAAGAGAAGAGGAACATTGTGATTCATAGATCGTGTTTATTCTTTGGTGGAGCTAACCGCTTCATGGTATGCGGTCATAGGACAATGAGCAGTCCGCATTCCCTTGGGATTTGAGGAGGATTGCTGTTTATTACTGATTTAATCAGGGGTCCTGCCCACACCCTTCCTCCATGATCCTGTGTGCCGCCATCCTCTTCCCTAGACTTTTTTTTTCCCCAAATCCTGTCTCTGCAGGTAAGTAGTTCAGTTGAACTGGAAGTTTGAAGCATGTAACCAGGTTTTGTCTGCCGTCCACAAGCACATCTTGGCCTCGCAAAGTCCAGGAGGGCTTTTCTGTCTGTACTCCTCAGTTTCTGGTGTACCTGTACCTAGTCTGTTGAAACCACAAGACTTCTGTTTCTGGAGTCTGTTGGAATTACATCAGAGTTTTCTCCTTGCACACTCAGCAGGGCACCTATTTCTGTTACCAAACTTCTGGTTTTTGGATGCAATAAAGGTTACAAAGATGTGCCAGCTGAACGGTGTGAATGGAGTTGTACGTATGGGGTCTTCATGTTCGTATTCCAGCGTCGTATAAAATGGAGATGGTTTATGCTCGTGTCGAGTGGTGTGATCGTGATCGTTCCTTGCTGTTGCCTGGAGCAGAGCCCATTTGCAGGCACAAACCTTAGAGGGCAGCACTGGCTTCGGCAGCTCTGGCCCAGCTCTCTCCTCACCCCAAAGCCCTCAGAAAATGAGCAAAAGGAGAAAACGGGTGTTTTGGAGTCACAAAGACGCCAGGATTACGGGAGGAAGGGGCAGGGATGTGGCTCCTGACAAAGTGCTTGATGGATTCAGGCCAGAGCCATCAAGGCTGAGGTGAAACTGGAAGAAAATACCTTGAAGCACCTTTCTTTCACCCCCCTCCCTGGGCAGGTGTGCAGAAGACCTCTCTGGAGATGAGCCAGCCCTGGCTCGTTAGGGCTAATTGGGCATCGAGTGCAGCTGCAGTGAGGGACGAGGTGGCTGAGGGAGCTGTGGCCTGAGGAGACCTGCCTGGCCAGCTCCAGCCCCTCCTGGAGGTGGGGTGCAAGGAAGACACCCCCCCCCCAAACCCTTGAGACCATCACCACTACAGTCCCCCTTGGCTTTAGTGAGTATTAATTGTTTAATTAGTCATTAGGAGTGAGATGGGGCTGTGTTGCAGCCAAGCTCCCAGAGGGGGGCCGAGTTTGGGGTCAGGGTGCGGCAGCTGCTTGCTGTTTCTGGTGATTTTATTTTTTTTCTTCCAAAGCTCTTAAGATTTACTGGTTGGCTGCTAAAATGTCACTTCTGGGAAATGGGTTTTTTTAAGAAAAAGATGCAAAACTGTGTGCAGCCATAAATATTTACTTCAGAAAACCAGCCGTGAATGCTCCATGCTGTTTCCTACCCCTTCCACCATCAATTCCCAAACGCAAACAGGACACTGAACGTGCTCTACAAATTGCCTTTGAAAATGTATTTTTATTTGCAGGGATTCCCTCATTTTTATGATTTATTTAATGGTGAGGAGCAGGCTTTCCCTGTGCACCGGCTATGGGGAAAGGCACCAGACGTCTTTTTGGTGCCACCAGGTTGGGCCAGGCCCTGCCTGGCCACAGGGGAGGCAAAACCCCCACAATTTAGACCGTTTCCATCAAACTTTGAGCCTGACATGTCTAGCAGGAGGGAGTTTTGCCCTTGCACAGAAACCAGGGGTAATTCTTGTAAGGGTTGTGGTAGGTCCTGGCTGTCTTTTGGAAGCACTCTGCCGCCTGCCTGTCGCACTCGCAGCTCTGTCTTTTGCACCAAGTCTTGGATCCTGGAAGAAAATTTGGGGAAATTTGGTGGGATGGAGTGGGGTGAAGGGTGTGAGAGTCAGGGTGACTTTTGGACTGTCCCCGTGGCGTGCACAGCCCCCATGCCGAGTTTGGGGTGTCTTGGGTAGTTCTTTTACCTCTGGTGCATGGAGCTACCTGGCTACAAACCATGCGTGGCCCTGGGGGGACCATTTAATTTATTTTATCTGCTTGTGTATGTATAGGTATTTGCTTTGATCACCGTGAAGTGCTTTGTTTTAATCCACTCGCCCTGAAATGGCAGGGTTTGCTCTGGGGAAGGCGAGGTGGCAGTGCCAGATCCCCATCCATGATGGGAGGCTCACCTCAAACCCTGTATATTTGGCCCCTGGAGAAGAGCAAGCCTCCTTCTTCAGGAGGTCTCCAAGCTCTAAACTTCACCATAGTCCCAGCAAATAAATGTTTATCCTATTCCTGGTGTTTTCCCCCCATTTTCACCCCCTTCCCAGCACATGGTTTCCAAGCCAGGAAGGCGTGAAGGAAATCTCGGAGGAGAGCGTGGCTGGTTGTGCCCTCCCCGTCGGGGCTCTGCCCCCGCGCTGTCTCTTACCACAGATGATCTGGCTTCCCAAGGTGGTGTATTCGTACATGACCAGTTTGGGACTGCAGCTAGAGGAAGCCACCTTCTTGTAGCAGCAGTCGTGGGCATGGCAGCACCTGGGAGCACGAGAGTTGTGGTCAGGGCAGGATGGGGGGTGGTGGGGACAATACCACAGTGCTGAACATCTGGTGGTACACAGCCCCCGTGAGAAACATCTTGCATTTGTGCCCGGGTTAGGTGCATGGGTGTGCAGCAGCTCCCGAGAGCAGCAGCGAGCGGTCCCTTCGCACCCGCTCTGCCTTCTCCAGGTTCCGACTTACCAGTCAGTCGCATCCAGCGGCTGTTTGGATCCCCCCAAGCCGCAGTGCCAGCCGTAACCATTGTAGGACAGCGGCGATTTCTTGGTCTTGAATGTAATCATTGCACCAAACTGTAACACGTTGCAGCTGGCGGGGACCAGCCCTGCGACTGGAGACAGAGGGTTAGGAGCATTGGGAAAAGCAACCTCTCATCCCACCCTTCTGTACCAAAACTGAGTATTTTCACCCTCCCCAAGTTTATTGTTTATGGGGAGAAATTGCGAGTGCCAGACTTTCTGCACCGCATCGTCTGGCGGGGTGAGAGCTGGCGCGGGGTACTCACGGCAGAGGAGCAGCCAGAAGAGCTTCATGCCTGGTGGTGGCAGCTCCGGTGTCTGGGTGAGCCCGAGGTGCCGCTGGTCGCTTTTATGGCCATTGTACCCACGCGATGGGGCCCCTCCTTTGGAGAACCCAAAGTGGGCAAATATTGACAATCCTCGCCCTATCGGTCCCGCTTGGTGTGCGAGTCTCTCTCGGCATTGCCGTAGGCGCTGGCTGCAGGATGCCCTGTGCTGGGGGAACCCTTCACCCGGGGAGGTTTCAGTGGACTGGGACGAGTGGGGCAGACTGGGGTTGAATCCGTGTGTGGCTCTGGGTATCTCAGCATCCCAATTCCTCCCCTGAACAAAGTGGGAGAACTTTTTTTCTGTTCCTGGGTGACTATTAGTTTTTTGATGTCTCGGTTAGAAAATGCCATTCTGTATCTTACTGTGTCCATCGTGACTTACCTGGGCAGGGAGAAAATGCAGCCAGTACAAAGCATCCTCCCCTCCTGACTTACCAAAGCGGGTGAGATGGCAGCACCGTGAGCCACGAACAGGCTGCAGCTGAAGGTAGGATCGAGTAAAAGCAGCGTATGCCAGTTTTCTTGTTAGCAGGAGCTTGTCAGCGCCCAGATGCTCCTTGCGTGTGGGGATACTCCATCGCTTTCCCCATACCTGCTGGGTGCTGTGCATAGTCTTGCTCTCAAACCAGAGCAGGCAACGCTCACGGACCATCGCATGAGGTTTCTGATTCATCTTTGTGTTGAAGCAAAATAAGGCAAGCAGCAGAGTGAGGGGAAAAAAAAAAATAAATGCAAGTGGCGTATAATGGAAGGGTGAAAAAAGAGGGTGGTCATGTTGTTTGCTTGGAGAGAATCTCTAATTAAATAGATGATGCCAAACACCTTAGCAGTTTTCTTCTGGCAGAGATTGAGGTGCATACAGCTCTGCACCACTTTGCGGGGAACCCCGGTGCAGGCAGACGCCCAGCCGGGGAGAGGAAATCCCCCCCATCACTGATAGGGAAACTGAGGCAGGGAACAAGGACGCAACTTGGGTGGAAATCAGAGAGATGGTGAGAAAAGGGAACTCGGCTCAGGGCCTCAGCAAAATCTCTTCCCCCATCTGGCACATGCCGTTTGCCTCATCAGCTCTCCGGACCAATTTACATAGACCCTTGGGATGGCAGTGAGTTAATGAGGTGAACCAGAGCTTGCCATAATTCAATATTTTCTGAGTCCGCAGCCAGTTTTTATCACTGGGGAATGAAGTACATTTTTGTGCATCAAACTGCCTGAGCTGCCAGGCGAAAGACCGCCCGCCCCAACCCCTCTACCCACGGCAGGTTTGCAGTAGCCCTTCTCCAAAAGTGAAATAACACCCCCGCCCCAGGCTGAACCCGCATCCCTGGGAGGATGTGGAGTTTGTTTCTCTTTTGCAATATACAAAATACCACTTTTACAGCTCAATTTCTTGCAATGTACTGAGGGAGTGCAGTGTCTGAGCCAACACATCAGCGCTTGGACCTCTGTATGAATGGATTCATACAGCCAGCTGTCCAAGCAGACAAATACACAGGTAGTTAAAATTCACCCAAAATTTAAACAGGGAGATTGTGTTTCGGCTCATCCTGGCCTGCAATCTGTCTGCCTGATTGCCCCTCTCCCATTTCGGTGAGGATTTGATCCTTGATTTATGCCTTGCAAACAGCAGCTGTTGGGCAAAGGGCTGCCCGCTCCTTCCTCCTCGTCTTCCCCAGGACCAAACGCTGCTGGATGAGGAGGATGGTAGAGCTTGATGCTTGCAGGGAAGCAGTGCTGATTTAAGGGATATTTCCTGGTGCTGTTGACTTCTGGGGCAAGCCAGGGTAGGAATTAGAGCTGCTGATATCCAGGGAAGAAGTGTTTTGTTGCTGTTTCTGTGGCTGCATTTCAGTGCTGAGCCCCATGGGGGTTTGCAGCGCTGAGACCTCCTGGAGGGGTCAACCCTACCGAATTGGGCTGCAGGACAGGAAACCTGCGCCGTGGGGATGCTGCGGTGGTTGGGGGGGGAACCAGCCACAGCCTGACCTGCCTTTTCCTAGGGGACGTGCTCAGGGTTTTTGCAGAATTGGGCCAAAACATTCTTTTCTGGTGAGAAATTTGTTTTGTTCTGCAACTGGGTGTTAGGCAACAGCAAGCTCCCGGCCACCCCGTTGCAGCAAAGGTTGCCAGCGCCCAGCCCTCCCGCAGCATCGTGCCTGCCTGCAGCCCTTTGTACCGGCTTTGATATCTCTATCTCAGGGCAACTGCAAATTTTCAGAGCCTGAAGGCTCGGAGCTAAGCAAGGGGAAGTTCAGGGGTGCAGACGCGCATCAGTGGGAGATGCGTCGCGTCTCAGTTGTCTTTTTTTTTTCTTTCTGGGTATTTCAATGGAAAAACTAGCAAAGAGGTTAGCTTCGCCCTGCTGCCTGCAAGGGGTGGTCGCTGGGCTCAGCTGAGTCACGTCACACTGAGGCCTGATGTTTTGCATTTTCTGGTTTTATTTTGGAGCAACAGAAGAGAATCTGCAGTGAAGCAAAAAGCAGAGGGAGCTGACAGGCTGCACAGGGAGCTCGAGCCAAGGGGAAATGAGTGTTAGCGGAGAGGCTCGCGCTGGTTTCCATCTCGCCCTTTGCAGCGACAAGGCGCAGGTGTCCAC